TTAACAATAATTTTATTTTAATCTTGAATAAATAAAACTACAGTTTTATTTTATGGAAATAAATAATTATATGAAGTTATATTTCAAGATGGTAAGAAATTTTCCTTTTTTAAAGTTAAAATTGTAACAAAATTTAAATGAAATATAACTTTTCAACAATATAGTGTGGTTTTTATTATACAACTTTATAATGTATGATAAGTGTGAAATTACAATTGAATAGAGAGTATAAAATATGTTTCATAAGCTAATTTTGATAAAACTGGCTCATTTCTAAAAAAAATTGGGAATACATTTACATTAAAAATTAAACACTTGAAAATGATTAATGATATACAATTTATCAGAAAACTCATTGTCTAGAGAAAAAGAAATTGTCAAAAGTTAGATTCTCAAGTTTAATTTCTGTGTTAAATTTGAAACTTTCATTCATAAAAAGTAGCTGGACACGAAATACAGGAGTTAAAGAGGGAGAAAAATGGATGGTAGCAGAATTAATTTAATTTTATTTAGTATTTCTGTATTGTTAACAAAGTAAATTATGCGTGGAATAACCGTATTAATTTGTTGTTCTATGTTTTACTACTTCAGAATAATAAAGAAAATAAAGTAAAATAAAGTATCACCAAATTTTTTGCTTTTATCCAAATCTTCCACTTGCTTATTACAAAAAACGACGCAAAATAATAACAGAAAATATAAAATCTAATGTTATATAATTCAGAGAAAACAGCTACCTCTTGTATAGACAAGAAAAAAAAATAAAAATTAACAGTGAAAATATAATCTCATGATTAACTCTTACTATTATATCCGCAAGAATACTTGGTTGGTTGGTTCTAATGCCACTTGCCACACGGACAAGCCTGCTTGGTGAAACCGAGCAAATTTAAGGCAGAGTGTGCGATTCTTGTTTTTCAGTGGTGCCATCTATGGCCAAGAATTCGACTTCGTCACACCATACATCACACCTGTTTATAAGGCGGACTCATTCATACATCCATTCATTCATCCATAGATCGTAATTTTGACCTGAATCAGAGAACGATCGATCTCCAATCCAGGCAAAAATAGTGATTTCTATTATTGCATTAATGTAGCCAATACAATAGTTTGAGGTGCATCAAAAAAGCAAATTTTTTTTTTAAATTTTCAAATATCAGCATGTTTTTTAATCTTTAATTAAATAGATGGAATACTACAAGCATCTAATTTTCGTTACTTCTCGCTAACTTATTTTTATACAATAATGAAATTTATTTTTATGAACGATAATATTAAATTTAATTTTTTGGACTTAAGTATTAAAATAAAATATCCGAATTGTCGACTAATACAAAACTTTTACAACAAAAAGGATGATTTTGAGTTTAATATAAACTAATTAAATGGAATTCTAATGTTTCTAATAAATATTTTAAAACTATTTTTAATCTAGTAAATAGCATTAAAAGAATATGAAGTATTATTTATTTATTCAAAAAATTAAACGCATATTTGGAAATTCTTGGCCATAGATGGCGCCACTGGAAAACAAGAATAATCGCATCCCTCAGCCTTAACAGGCAAACAAATATTTGAATAAAAACAACGGATATCTGACAAATGTAATTAAATTCTTTTCGAAAACATTTAGTTAATTGTGTATTAAAATAATAAAAGAATATATTCGCATAAAAACCTTTTAGCTATGTCGATTGATATTTTTGCTGTGTGTGAAACCAATCCGTGGCAAATCCATTGACAGATCATTATGAGAAATCCCTGCAGGTGTTGGACTGAATAATCAGAAAGAATTTGTTTTAAGCGAAGTAATGCTTTCAAAAAAGTAAATTTTAAAATCTAATTAATTCTGAAAATTTTTTTATAAAAGTTTTTTAAGCGATGTAGCCAAAGTAACTGGAACTTTGAAAAAAAAACCAAGTTTTGAAAGAATAAAAAATGCTCTGTCCCTAATCTTCTTACCCACTGGCCTCAACTACCATCCATTTACAAATTTGTTTAAATATTACTTTCTGAAACAAATCAAGAAAATGAAAGCAATTACTTTAAGAAAATTTACAAGCGTCGTTTTATAAGAATGAAAAAATGTTTAAAACTTACGTCAGCCAATTATATTTATAGCGAGTAGATAGATTTGACATACTTATATTGGTCTGAAAAAAATGGAAAAAACATAACTTTTAGAACTAAAACTAATGCTAAAATTCAAACTTACTTAACAATAACATGCTTATCCGAGAATCTTTTTGCAGTAATGGTCTGCATTGCAGTTGCTAGTTTTTGCATTCTTTTATTTCCACAGACATACACAGACGAACGATAAACAAAAACAATAATAACAAGAAAAAGTAGTTTGGTTGCCTAACAACCAGCTGGAGTCGCAGTTATTATATTGCTGACGATTTAAAACAATTATTCAAACTGACTGTTTATTTGATGTCGGAACATCCTCCCCAACCTAGTCAACCTCAAGAGGGATGACCAATTGTATAGGTCAAGTTATAGCCTTTCCATCCACTCTTAAGACGCATGCTCGAATTTCCCCATCACGTCCCTTAGTTAGATTAGTAATTCGGGCTTTCTTCCACACGTGTCTGGGTCTGACATCTTCTTGTTGTAGCACAAGATCTCCTGCATGTATGTTGAAGGATTTATGAATATTACGAACTTGGTGATAAGAGCGAAGTTGCAGCAGATCTTCTTTGGAACATCTTTTCCAAAATACATCCAACACATCTTGTTGTTGTTTGTAGAGTTTCGCAAGTCTTGGATTGTTATTCAGATTTGTGGGTATCTATGTTAACTTTCTACCCGTTAGGAAATATGTCGGTGTTAAAGCTTCTGTATTGTTTTCATCTCCCTCTTCATATACAATGGGTCTGCTGTTAAGGGCGGCTTCTATCCCTACTAGTACAGTTGATAGATTTTCTTTAACCAATAGTGCCCGAGCAAGAGATTTACGAAGATAATTTCTCGCTAATCCGATTAGGCGCTCCCACCAACCTTCCCACCAAGCCGCTCTGGGTACGATGAACTTCCAAATTATGCCATTATGACCGTAAAACTGTTGTACTTTAGTTGATGTAAGAGTGTTCCATAGAAGTATTAGCTTCTTATTTGCAGCGTGGAACGTGGCAGCATTGTCACTATAGATGGTATGTGGTAGTCATCTTCGACCCAGAAATTGCTGCAATGCTAACAGAAACTTGTTTGTCGAAAGACCTGACACAAGTTCGAGATGTATGGCTCTGGTCGTTGCACAGGTAAACAGTACAATGTAAGCTGTATCCGAAGAATTCAAAGTGCGAACATGTACAGTGCCGGCAAAATCAACTCCTGTGGTGAAAAATGGTGTAGCTGGATAAATTCTATCAGCTGGTAGAGGAGCTTCAATTTGAGTCCAGCGAATTGCTCGTGACATCTTGCATGGTAAGCATTTGTTAATCACATGTTTGATGGTTTGACGTCCTCGTAGAATCCAAAAATTTTAACGCAGTTCTGAAAGCACTATTCTGACAGCTAGGTGATGCATTTTGATATGTGTTTGACGTATCAGCAGACTTGTGAAATGATGAGATTCGTCCAGCAAAATTGGATGTTTTGGGGACTCTGATAAACTCGAAAACTGTAATCTACCATCAACACGTATAAACTTATTTTCAAATAGTGGGTTGAATTTTGTAATCTTTGAATTTTTTGGCAATGACTTGGATGTTGACAAAGCTTCGCATTGTAACGAAAATGACTCTTTCTGAACCATTTGTATCCAGTAATTTCTAGCATCATATATTTCTGCAGTGTCAAGTTATCCGACTTTCTTGCCTTGAGATCTACAGTTCGAGATAAAGTGTAGAATCCATGCAGTTACACGTAGCAGTCTGAAGTAGGAGCTGTAGTCCTTTGCGTTGATGATGGGTTGAAAAGTAGTAACATGAAATGTTTGAATTATTAATTTAATGTTCTTTATTTTTCTTTACCTCCAAATTATGAGAGTAATCTTTTTTAGAATCTGGCCAGCTTTCTGTGGGTTCAGTCAGTCAAGAGGGGCCGTTCCACCAGATGTTGAGGTCTTTCAGTGTAGATGGTTGTATGCCTCTTGAAAGTTTGTCCGCTGGATTGTCTTGTCCCGGGCAATGCCTCCACTGTGAGGGGTCAGTGTATGAAATGATTTCTGTTACCCTGTTGCACACAAATGTTTTCCATCTGTTAGGATTACCCCGAATACAACCAAGGGTGACTTCAGAGTCGCTCCATAATGTGGCAGTAGATGGCGACAATTCAGTTTCATTGCAAAAATATTTCAGCAATCTGGTACCAATCACAGCTGCTAATGACTCTAAGCGTGGAAGACTAATTCTCTTTATTGGTGCAAGTCTATTGCGGCTGCATACTAAATGGATACTTGATTGATTATTATGAGAGGCAACTACGTACAAAAACGCGCCATAAGCTCGCTCAGATGCATCGCAGAACATATGAATATTAAAGGAATCAAACGATGAAATTCCTATGTAACAAGGAATTTCTTTAGAGCAGATGGCATCGAGCTGGGTTGTAATTGTATGCCACATAGTAGCTAAGTTTGTCGGCAAGATTTCATCCCAATTGATTCCGAGACCCCAAGTATCTTGAAAGAGTATATTTCCAATTATCGTAAATGGTGTAAACAGCCTTAAGGGATCGCATAAACTTGCAACACAGCGGAGTAACCACCTCTTAGTAAGTGGCTTATCTAGAGAAGCACAGAGTGAAGTCTTGAAAGTGTTGCTCAAGGTATCAGTTTTCGTGTTCTATCCAATACCCGAAACTGTAGTTTCGGTCTTGAAATTTTCTTTGTTAGTTTCTAGCAAGTGTTGAAGCTTCATAGAGTTAGTAGTCCATTTTTCCATCGGTAGTTCTATGAGTGACATCAAATCTTTGATTTCTTTTTGTAATATCATTATTTGTAATTCAGTTTCTAGTCTAACCACAAAATCATCCATATATAGGCGTTTATCTCAGAAGGCTGCAGAAGTAGGGAAGTCATTTATATGATTAGCGACTAGCTCTCGTGTGATGGCACACAACAGAAAAGGGCTGCAGGGCAGTCCGAATGGTAAGCGAGTGGATCTGTATGTAGTTACTTCATCCGTAATTGTGGCTGTTTTGAAAGAGCCTTTCGTTTGTTTGTACCAGAGGAATCTCGCTGCATCTCTGCCCTTTGGATGCAAAACCAACAGTAGGAAAGCTTGTTTACCATCACAGATTAGGGCAAATTTATGCAGTAGACAACCAACAGTCTCAGGTAGTAGATTGGGACCAACTTCTAAAGAGTCGTTTAATGATGACATGTCTGGAGCATGTGATGAGGCGTCAAAGGCGATTCTCCACTTTATATCATCTTGCTGCTTCTTTTTCACTGCATGCTGTGACAGATAGGATGACGGTGTTTTCTGTTTCATCTGCAGATGGACAAACTTCAACATGTCCTTGTTCAATGTAATTCAACATGCATTTTTCGTACTGGGCAGATTCTACTGGGAGATTCGTACTGGGAAAGATTCATTTGATGTCAGTCTTTTTTCAGCGATTGAAATCTGTTCTCAGCAGTTGTTTTGTTTGTTGGTAATGTTGAGACCATAGCTTTCCAAGGTAATGATACGACCCTACGATTATCAACTACAGTGAACTCTCACTTATGCACCGGTGTAAGGGGCCAAGAGAAAAAGGCGCATAAGTGAAAGAAGCACATAAGTGAAAAACTTCAAAATTCTAAAACGCAATGTAAATTGCAGTGACAATATGAATAAATATGTTTCTAAAGATCAAATGTTAATATTTATACTGTTTTGGTATTTAGTACTATAATTATACAAAGAAAAAATGTAACATACCTTAAGACAATTTATTTCCTTACAAAATAATCTTAATACAAGTTTGTTTTTGCCGACGTATTTCAAAAACAGTTTCCTCCTGTTCATATAAGTGGGATAAGGGGGGGTTTCAGAAGCAAAATTAAATTGTAAATAGTCACGAATAGTGTCTAAAGCTTCCAATACTGTTGTGTGATTTGGAGGAACTTTATCATCCTCGTCAGTATCATCCACCACGTTCTCATCGTCCACAAGTTTTAGTTAGATATAAATGAACACTTCTTCACAAAAAATCTGAGTTTTATGGGAGGGGGTGAAACATAACATGATAAATTTCTAAGAAAAGTACTTGACGTTGTAATATGCTGCACAATAAGCTGTTCGATTACTAATGTCACTAAACAGATCACCTCCTTTTATTTACTTATAATGTCCATCTGACTACAAGTAAGTGATCGCGGTCTCTTTCATCTTTTCTATTCCAGGTGTCTTTTTTTTTCTCTAGAAAACATCATGGGAGTAAAACTAACCTTTGGACAAGAGGAATGTTCATTTTCTAAGAGATGAATGGGCCTTCATTGTTGTTGCTGTAACAGATAAGACACCCTATTCAAAATTCTAGAAAGAATGTCTTTCCAGAAACAGCAAAAATGAAAAGGTCACAGGGGAAGCAAATTCATTAGGATCTAACAAAATATATTTCTTTTCAGCTGTAACAGGGATTGCTTATTTCCTTCATTTTTAATTTAAAACATTTTTTTAAAAAAGAAAAAATATTTAAAGAATTAAAAAATTAAAATGTTAGCCTAAAATTTCGGCGCATAATTGAAAAATTGACTTTTAGAGCGACGCATAAACGAAGGATGTTTATCATTATTTTCCTATCTAATGTACTGGGACCTATAAAAATCGTCGTATAAATGAAAAAGGTGCATAAAAGAGGTGGTGCATAAGTGAGATGTCACTGTAATTTAAATGAGTCACGAAAGTTCTTCAAAACAGTCGAATCATGTTTAGACATTTCTCTCTCCTAGGAAGTGATAATTCGAATTGTTTCCAAGTCCCAGAAGCAACGTACACTTTCATTGATAAGTTCTTGTTGAATTAATGTGTTGAGGTAATTTACAGTAGCTAACGTGGAAACTGTTGTGCATGATCGAGGCCCACTCAGAATCCACCCAAAATGTGACGGAACCAATGCAAGCGATTCTGACAGCACAACCGGTGCTTCAGGGTTCAATACTTGCCAGTAGAAATCAGCACCAATCAAAACTTGCATAGGCAGATTTTGTAAGTTATCGTAAGGGTCAGCCAGTTTCTTTTTTTTCTGGAATGAGAGCCGTGAAACATCAGTTGGAACAGATGGATGTGACGCGCATTCATTGGAACTTTCAAATGCTTCAATATTAACTGAAGACTGATTCCAAATGCTTGATAGTTTAAACATTACTTTTCGTTTCATGTGGGGAACATTCGCTGTAGATTCAAATCCATGCACTTCCAATGATTTTGCAGAAATAACTTCTAATTTCAAACTATCAACAAGATCATTATGAATGAAACTAGACTGGCTACCTCCATCCAGAAGACAACGGGTCAGTCTTGTAGTACCAGTCAGGCCTGTTATAAAAACTCTTGCAGTTTGCAAATGCACAGCGTAGCGTGCAGCAATATCGATCTTATGAGTAGACGTTGTACCTGGGTGATCAACACTGTTCTTACAAATTGAAACATGATGCTTTTTCCAGCAATTCACACAACAAGCCTTTTCCTCACGAGCACAGCTCTGTTTTGTGTGTCCTCGTCCAGTGCACAAAAAAAATCTATTCGTAGCTTTTAATTTCTGTATTCGTGTGTCTATATCTGTCACAGAGTTGCACTGTTGAGGCCAATGTCTGGCAGTTTCAGAACAGAAAGGGACAGAATGGTGAAGGTTTTTTACTTTTAGTAATTGACTTGGAATTTGCATTGAAGTTTTCTAATGCGGACTTTAAGGATTTATCAGAAGACATAAGACCTTTAATCTTGCTTGTTGTAAGGGTTCCTTCTACTTCTTCGGCTAGAAAATTTTAGTTATGTAATATCCAGGCTAAAACTATACATCTAAGAGAGTATATCAATAATTTGCCAACCGATCAGGCCTTCTCGGTGCCATACAAAATTGCTAATAACAACGTTAATATTAGGCAAACTTATAATCCAATTAATTTTCCAAACGGCATCACTGATTGCTATAATGAGACAATAGAGGAGATCGTGGAGCACCACTTCCCGAGCACTCAGGAGGACAGTGTGACATTTCGTCCCACTGGCGTAGATGACCCTGACTTCACTCTTGATGAACTGGGACTGGTTATTGGGAGACTCAAACTGGGGAAATCATCGGGCCCTGATGGGATACCAAATGAGATTTTTATGGAGCTATTTATTGTAAACAGCAATTGACTTTTATTGCTTTTTAAATTATGCTTAAATTTGAGATACTTCCCGATCCCCTGGAAAACAGCCAGAGTCGCCCTGATACGGAAGACTAACAAAGATTCTAGAGACCCAGGTTCCTACAGACCAATCTCACTCCTCTCGGTCTGGGGCAAGATTCTCGACAAGATGCTAACTAAAAGAATAACATTTCATCTTGAGAATAATAATTACCTAAATAATAACCAGTTCGGCTTCAGATCTGGGAGGAGCACTGAGGACGCAATAAAAACAGTTATTGAGATCGTTACAGAAAACAAAACAAGGGGTAAACATACGGTAGGGGTGGCTCTGGACATCAAAAATGCTTTCAATAAAGCGGATTGGGGGGTTCTTAAAGCTAATATCAATAACCTAGGCATCCCGGACAATATTTCGGGTTCTATCTTTAGTTTCCTGAATTCTAGGAAGGTTATTTTTAATGATGATGCTGGCGAGCTTGTCATGGAAAAGCAGATCAATATTGGTGTGCCACAGGGCTCTTCCCTGGGTCCGGTCTTGTGGCTCATTGTCATCGATACCATTTTTAACTTTTGTGACTGTATTGATTTTACACACTTCCCTGGCTTTGATTGCTTAGATTTTAGGCTAATTGCTTTCGCGGATGATGTCTTCGTGCTGGTCGGTGGCTCGATCTTCTATCATTTTGATGCCCTGGTGACTCACATCCTTACCAATTTATCAGCCTGGGCCGAGCAAAATAAACTTGAATTTAGTCGTGAAAAGACACAACTAATTACATTCCCGAAAAACAATAAAAAGGTTGCTAGACTTCCCTGTATTAAGCTGCACAGAAACGATAATAGTAATATTAAAAACACACGAACACTCAAATACTTGGAAGTCCTGCTCGACCCGGGCTTGACGTGGATCCCCCATCTTAACGAGACTAGAGATAAGATCCAAAGATTCAATCAGGGGATAAGGAGAGTTGCTAGGGCAACCTGGGGGCTCAGCCCATTTATACTTAAACGAATCTACCTCCAGGCAAGCGAGCGTATTATTTTGTATGCAGCCAGTGTCTGGTACAGAAATAACACAAGGATGAACGAAAAACTTAAATCAATCCAAAGGATCCCTCTACTTACCATTACCAAGGCGTACTCGACAGTTAGCTCTGAAGCTATACAGATACTGGCTGGCATTGTCCCAATTCACCTAAAGATCCTCGAGGACATTATTATCAAAAGGATGAGATGGGGTTGGAGGACGGATGATTTGGTTCATGTTTTCCCAGAGTGCTCTACACAGATTATTAATTTTGATACTCCAGCCCCACTGCACCCATCTAAGTATCGCTCCTTGCCCTGGGGGTATGATTTCCCAAAAGATCAGGGTTTGGAGATTTTCACCGACGGCTCTAGGATGGAGACTGGCAGCGATAACACCTTCAGAACTGCTTTTGCATTCGTTGTCTATTTTAACGGAGTAAAAACACATCAGGTCTCCACTAGGGTCGAAGATAACACTAACATCTTTATTGCTGAACTGCTGGCCATCAAATCGGCGCTGCAATGGCTTCAAAACAACAACATTACAGAGGCAACTATTTACTCAGACTCTCTTTCATCGCTACAGGCCCTGGCTGACCCACAGCCCACATCAGACATTATTGAAACGACAAAACTGCTCTGGAGACAAAATATAAAATTAAACTGGGTTAAGGCGCATGTGGGCATCCAGGGCAACGAAGAAGCTGACGAAGCAGCCAAGATGGCCATTGGGTTAGACACGGTGGAACTCCAAGGGCTGAGGACCCCAAAACAGGTTAAGAGTAAACTGAGGGATAGTATCCTTATTAAATGGGCAGAGGAGTGGAGGAACTGTCCAAAAGGGAGGCAAACCTATGATCTCATTAAAACACCATCAACTAAAAGGTTACTTACAAACTTTTACCTAAATCAATTCATTACTGGCCACGGAGTGTTCGGAGTGTATCAAAAAAGGTTTTTCAACAAAAGTGGTATCTGTCAATATTGCACGGAAGAACAAACCATTCACCACCTACTTTTTGATTGTGCACGCTTCCGGACACTCCGAGGGGATATCTTTACTAATAAAACTGAGCATCAGATCTTCTCAAGTAATGACTGCAAAAATATCGTCAAGGAAATCATTAGGGTCACACTAGTTATGTAATATCACATTCTGAAATTTTTCGGCGTTTCGCATGAATAACCCATCGGCAGCAAATATCGCCAGGGAATGCACGGAAAATTTTAGGAGATAAAACTCTACCGTATGCGTCAATATCTTCCCCCGAAGCACGTAAAGCCTGTAGCCTTTTGTTGCATTCAATATAAACTTCATTCAGTGATGTTGGCGATGGATTGCGAATTGGCGTTAAATTCTCCAAAAAATCCAAATGAGATTGAATAATTCTATTTTTGTCACCATATTTGTCCATAAGTAGCTTCTTTGTGGTTTCATTTGTATCTGCAATAATACTTATACCATCAACCAATCTTTTTGGTTAATCTTCTAAATATCCTCTGAGAAAAACATGTTTATTAATTGATGATAGATTTGGATTAACGTCTACAGACGTTTTAAATTATTCCCAAAAACATTGCCAATGTTCCCCGTCGCCACGAAATGGTTCTAATTTTATCGTCGGTAGTTTTACATTTTGTTGTGGTGACATAGAATTCACATTTTGAATTGGAATGTTAGTAACATTTGGTGAATCTACAGTCTCATTCTTGTTCTGATCTTCTTTCATTGTACGATTTGCATAAAAAATCGCACGCTAGGCGTTATTCGTATACTCTTGGCATTGCACTACATCAATTTCGTATTCTGCATCCGAAAGTAATATGCGTATATCATTATCCACTATTTCCATATCATTAAGTACTTCGGCAAGGCGACTCCCAGTGAATTCAATATCGGCATTCGAAGTAGAATTTAAAGTGTCCTTTAGTTGGCTAATGAAGCGAGTAATATTAGCTCGAATTGTTCTACGTTTGCGCTTCAATAGTGTAAAAGTGAACATTAATTATATTCTTATTACATATTTAGAATTCAAAAGTGTGAACGTGAACATTAATTATATTCTTATTACATATTTAGTATTCCATGTTTTGTCATCAGCAGTTTTTGTGTACGATATAGATTTTGAGATTTTTAGAAAAACGGTGTGGTTACGTAGCTAATGAGTTATCTGAAGATGTTTCGTCTACTACTTTGAAAATACCTGACTTGGGAAAGTTAATATTGATATAATATAATAATATTGATAATTTTTTTTATTCTCATGAGAATACTACAAGAAAGTCATGAAAAGAATATTACTACGAGCTTGAAACGTATTTTAATGGGTGGACTGCAGGACTTAAAATAAGTAGTTTTGAGAGTTTAAAAGACCTGATCATCACAGATCAAAAGAAAGCTCAGGTGCCTCCAGATATACGAGAACGTTACTTGGATCAGTGGACCCATATGATTTTACCTTATACATTATCTGAAAAGGTAGATGAATTTATTGAACTCAAAGATGTTTTCAAGAATCATATTCAGTATAATAATAAATCTAGTAACAATAAGTTTTTGAATGAAAAAAATAACGCCAAAGGGAAACAAACGGAGGCAATACGAAGTACAACTAATAATCAAACTGTTTGCTACTATTGTTATGATATCGGCCATTTTGCCCGTGATTGTGTAAAGCCAAAACGTCCAAAGTTTTGTACTGCCTGCAAAACAGAAGGACACGGTACAAAGGAATGTCCAAAGAGTGCGTCTTTCCCATTAGTCAATGCAGTTTCATTTTTACCCAGTTCCAGTAATAGTACAACGAAGAATATTATCATAGAAGAAGTAAATACTAGTGCTCTTATGGATACCGCTGGTGATATATCTATGTTAAAATATAGTTTTGCACAAACGTTTAATAAAAATATACATAAAAATATAGTTAAACGAATTCGAGGTATTGGAGGTGTAAGGGAGTCACTAAGAATTATCATACTTAATGTGACTATAGACAGGGTAAAGCTGAAGGAAGTTCTGTTTTATGTAGTGACTGATGATACATTTGAAGGCCCTGGTGTTCTCATTGGAAATGACATCATTGACTCACCCGAGATAATAATGGTTAGAAATCAAGGCAGATCCAAGTTAGTTCACGTGGAAAAGCTGTATTTTTTTGCATGATTTCCAGATTAATGAAATGCCTGATATGGTTGAGTTGAAGACCCTCGTAAAGTTCGTGATTGAACTGCGTACAGTTCAATTGGTAACTGTCTTCAGTGCATGTAAATCTTAAAACGGATTTATTTCCTACAGTGGTCGAGATGATCTAAGCAAGAATGTTACATTTGCTATCCACGATGGAAAATCACAAGTGCCCGTCGTGAATTCTAGTAGTGTAAAATTACAATTAAAGAAAAATCGTGTTATCTTGCGAGGAAATTGGGTATCTGAAAATAGTTACAACTCAATGGTTAAACAAGATGCGGATTCAACCCCAGCCGTTTTATTAGCAAAAGAAATTGTGAGAAATCCTCTCGATAGGGAACGTGTTAAAATTGGCCCGTCAATAAATAAAGAACAGCAGCAAATTTTATGCGATTTGTTAAATGAATTTAGGTAGTGTTTTGCTTTAAAACAAGATGAATTAGGATGCATTAATAATACTATAATGCGTATCGTTGAGACACCGGGTAGTAAATCTGTTTCTCGTTGTTCACCCTATAGAGCTTCGAAGTACAAGAGACAAGTTTAAAGGGAAATCTTTCAAGAATTAAAAGATCAGGGTGTTATTCGTAACAGTTCTTCAGAATATAGTAGCCCTGTTTTGCTCGTATCAAAGAATACTGGTGATCATCGTATGGTAATTTATTACAGATATTTAAATTCACAAACTATTAAGGATAAATTTCCATTACCCTGCATCGATCATTTGCTTGAAAGACTGTCTGGTTTTAGTTTATTCTGCATCCTTGATGCTTGTCAAGGATTTAATCAGATAACAATGAATGAAGAATCCTCACAAAAGGCAACGTTTACATTTCCTGATGGACATCATGAGCCTACGCGTTTGCTTTTTGGCTTATCGAATGAACCACCTGCTTTTCAGCGAGCGATGTCATTAGCTTCGGTTATTTGCTTTAGAAAGGTGTATCATGTTTTATTGACGATATATTCTTCGGTTCGATCGGCTTTGTTGATATGATAGTGAAGCTTCGACAAGTGCTTGAAAAGTTTCTGAAAGCTGGGGTAACACTGAAGCTATCTAAATGTGAATTCGGAATGTCAGATATTGAGTATTTAGGACTTGTAATTGGTAAAAATGGAATACGACCAGGTCCAAGAAAACTTGCTGACTGCTAAATACTCCATTCCTAAGACCAAAGATGAATTGCGTCGTTTTCTTGGTTTAACAAGTATCTTTTGCCGATTTATAACACGATATGCTTCAATTGCTGAACCCCTCACAAGGATGCTAAAGAAAAATTCATTGTTTACATGGAATGATGATCAAAATGATGGTTTTGAATATTTACGTTACAAATTAGTATCGAGACCAGTGTTGAAACTATTTGATCCACGCGATGAAACTGAATAACCCACTGATGCAAGCTCTGTTGGATTAGGTAGAATGCTCTTGCAACGAAATAAGTCTAGTGCTTTTCAGTTAGTTTACTCCGTAAGTCGCCGTACAACTCCTGAAGACGAAAAATATCATTTAAGTCGTTTGGAAATGATAACTGCGGTGTGGTCAATGACTAAGACTTCGTCCTTTGTTGTTGGGTTTGCAATTTACATTACTCACCGATTGTTCAGCAAAAACATACTTGAATACGCAAAGAACATTAAACCCCAGATTGCGAGGTGGACTGAACTGTTGAACGAATTTAATTATAATGTTAAATATCGAGATGGAACTAAAATGGCTCATGTAAATGCCCTTAGTCGTCCACCAGTCGAGGAAAGAATTTGCACACGATTGCATGAAGTAGACATTACGAGTCCTGTAGAACTAGCAAGAGAGCCTTCGGTACTTTACATCTCTTCTGAAGAAGACAGGGTAGATCTCATACAAGCTCAAGATCAAGATTTGCAAGAAATTGTATTTTCCTTAAGAAAACCAAAGACAAATAGGTCACTAGAAGAAAAACAACTAGCCGATAATTTCGAATCGTACCATATCGCCTCCATTATGAATCTGGTGATAGAAACAAGACACAAAAGTTGTTTGTAATGCCAAAATCAATGAGAAAGTATCTTGCCGTTCGTTTCCACGACTTTTCTGGTCATTTTGGAGTTGAGAAAGTAATTCAAATGATATGTCAACAGTTTTGGTTTCAACGTATGGCAAGTTGCATCAAGAAGCATATACGACAGTGTGTCGTGCATTTACAAAAGTACCAGGTGGGAAAGCTCAAGGTAAACTTAATGCCATTCCGACTGGTAGTCGCCCAATTGAAGTTGTTCATATGGATTTACCTGGACCATTTGTAACAAGTTCAGCTCGCAATAAGGAGCCTTTGGTTTTTGTCGACAATATGACTAAGTTTGTGCGCCTTCTTCCATGTCGTAGTTGCTCAACTGAAAGCATTTTTGAAGTACCTTGATGAATTTACTGATGATTTTGGTTCTCCTAGGCGAATCATTACAGACCGCTGCTTCATGTCCTCGGCGTTTGAAGGCTATTGCAAGCAATTAGGAATCAAGCATACATTAAACTCCAGTCAAAGGCCACAAGCTTATGGACAAGTTGAACGCATCAATCGTATACTTATTCCGATGATATCTTCCAATGGAATCTCACAAGGATTGGGATAAAATATTACCAGAAGTACAACGGTGTATTGACTGGTCTCCGAGTAAGTCGACTGGAAAACCTACTTTTGGACTCTTGTATGGATACACGCCAGTAAAGCCTGGATATTTTCTTCAAGATCTACTACCAATATCAAATGACTACGTAAATCCAACAAAACTGCAAAGAGATGCCCAGGAAAGTATTATCAGTGCACAAGAAAAGATGAAAAGGATTTATGACAAACATCGATGTGATGCATTTAAGTACAATATAGGTGACGTTGTGGTCGTTGCTCAAACTGCCTTATCTGACACTAAAACCCAAGTTAAGTACAAAGGTCCTTTAACAGTCATCAAAACATTACCATCCGACACTTATCAACTTACTGACTTACAGTTGGACTAGGAAGAACAAGGCAACATAATTATATGACTACCGCCCACACTTCGCAAATGAAACAATTTCATCTGGTCAGCGACGAAGATTTGTCTGATGATGGGGACAATATTACTGGAAGTAAGACATTGCTTGTGAACCCATGAACGACAACAACAGTACAAATTAATGCAACGACGATCCAAATAAAAATTTAAGTCCAGATAAGAGTAGACCAAAGAGATATAAAAGTGTGCCGCTTCATTTGAAGGATTATAAGTTGTTTTGAAGGGACGAGGTCGTCCAAAAGTCAGGATGGTCGAGTGTAAAAGTGTGAACGTGAACATTAACTATATTCTTATTACATATTTAGTATTCCATGTTTTGGCAACAACAGTTCTTGCGTATGATATAGATTTTGAGTTTTTTATAATAACGGGGTGCGTAAATTTTAAATAAAAGTAAACAGTAAATGAACTGCGTTTTTTTTAAAGTTGTTTTTTACAATAGCGCCATCTTGTCAGCCGAATCATTTTGCGTTGAAGTTCTGATTAACACAGGGAATGGCCCTTAATCTTAAAAAAAAAAACATCAAAGAAAAGAAAAATTCCATCAGTGTAAGGAATATTGGGCAAGTGTATGACTCCGAACCTCAAATATCAGGTGCCGGGAAATGGCTCTTAACATTAAAAACCTTAAAAAATGTCATTGTAGGAGATACCCGGCCTGAAAATGGCTCACCTGAAAATGGCTCATAACATTAAAAAAAGTATAGGGTACACATTTCACTCTTAATTTTAAGAAAACATCAGTGATAGGAATACCGAGCAAGCGTAAAAATTACTTATTTCGGGAGACAGTTTGAAATGAACTGATTTGAAACTTCAAATATAAGCAGTTTCATTTTGAAACTTCGAATTTTTTTTAATCAATCGGAGCTTTCCTTTGCCCTTTTAGGAAGCTGGATGCCGGTAGAATTTGTTTATATGGAACCTTTTATTGATGTTGATTGGTCATAACAATATAATGAACTGTAAACCTGTAAATGGTCTTTAACATTAAAAAGTCCATTGCCAGGTTTAGATTTGGCCGGTATTCATTACTTTCATATTTATATTATAGTAGCACTCATTCGTGTAGAAAATAGCTGGCATGTGTAAACCGCACAATGGCTCTTAACCTTTAAAATGTCAGAGTAGGAAATTCCGGGCAAGTGTAAATCGATAAATGTCTCTTAGCCATAATAAATATCAATGTAAGAAGTGTAATCGGAATGTCAATCGGATGTCAATCCATCTTTAGTGTAAATCGGAATGTCAAATGCAAGCTTGTAAAATGAAAACATTTTGGCAAATGAATGTATAATCTTCATCTAAGGGAAAAAAATCACGAAGAAAAGCATTTAAAATTCGAATAAATTTCAAACATATTATAATTTTGCAAAAAAAAAAAAAAAAAAAAAAAAAAAACGGAGAAAAGTTCGCATTAAGTTATTAATTAAAAAAGAGTAATACAACAAATCCAATTTTAACTCATAAGCCTCATTTTGGAAGGAAGTAAATCAGCCAAAATAGTTTTAATATTGATTCAAGTTTAACAGCTGATGATTCTCGAAGTAATTGAAATTTTAATTTTTTTATTCCATCAAATTCCTTGCACATTTTCCAACAGAATTTCGCAAGATAAATATTTTAAGTCATAGATTTTGCACAGCAAAGCAAAATGCAAAACGCAAAAAAAAGAAAAAAAAAACGGAGAAAAGTTCGCATTAAGTCATTAATTGAAAAAGAGTAATACAACAAATCCAATTTTAACTCATAAGCTTCATTTCAGAAGGAAGTAGATCAGCCAAAATAGTTTTAATTTTGATTCAAGTTTAACAGCTGATAATTCTCGAAGTAATTGAAATTTTAATTTTTTTATTCCATCAAATTCCTTGCACATTTTTCAACACAATTTCGCAAGATAAATATTTTAAGTCATAGATTTTGCACAGCAAAACAAAATGCAAAAAAAAAGAAAAAAAAAGAGAAAGTATTCGAAAAAATAAAACATTTGCTTACAAAAACAATACATTTGCTTTTGAGCTAATTGCAATTTCAAAAAGAACTCTGTGTTTAAGTTCAAAATCCAAGATGACCCTCTTAGCATCTGTGCTTGCATCCCTGCGGCATGTATGGTGGTCAGTATGGTGTTTTTTCTTACAAGTTTTACAGTAAACAATTTTCGCTAAAACTTTCGAATGTTACATTTTTTTATTCCATTGTACTTCCTGCATAATTTTCAATACTCCCTTTTAATTTCGATTTTCTTATCCTTATAATTTTTACGCATCAGAAAAAAATGTAAAGTTTATATGAAGGCACAAAACAGTTGTGTCGAACCTTACGATTTCTTAATAATAAGAGAGATAATTTACCTTTACAGCTTCTATTTCAAGGTCTTGCTGGTAATATTGATATCTGAAATGAAATATACACCATCGAGTGAAAAAGCTTAAATATTTTATCTCTCTCTCTCTCTCTCTCTCTCTATCNGTTGTTGTCGGTGTATTTTTATTGGCCGGAAAATCACATGGCAGGATCCAGTTTTTCCGCATTAATTTTCATATTAGTCTGGTTAGCATAAACGTAAAATTGATATCTTTATATAGTATAGGAAGAGAGTAGAATGATAACAACATAGCCAATCACAGTAGAATTAGCCAAAAAACCACGTAGTAGGATCCATTTTTTTCTCATTCATTTCCACATTGTTTTGGTTGTCATCAGTTAATAAAGGTCGTAAAGGTATTGCTTCTCTATAAATATCTTTGTATCCCTAATTTAAAGTTTTTTTTTTCTTTCTGAACTGCTATTATTACGTTTTTAATTCAAGAGTTAAAAACAAATAAAATTGTATTTTTTTCGTTATTATAATGTAATTCTGTGCTACTTTTTAAGATAAAGTTATTTAGAAAGGTGGTCTAACCTTATTTACCGTTTTACAATTATAATTTTTGCGCAGATAACATTAATGTACAGTCCGCAAAAACATTTAAAGAGATCTGTGAAATGATTTAGATCTTAATGATCAGCTTCATGCACAATAAGATGCAAACAAAAAGTAGTATTTAATATATTTGCCTGTTTGGTGAGCGAAAATATTAAATTACTGTTGTGAACTCTTCACATTTACTTGACACCAATAGATATAATCAATTATATATAATTCTCTTACGTGGCTCCCAAATTTTTGGCTGTATTTCTTTTTCGCCGGTGGCAGCGTTTGCTTTGTTTTGAAAACACCAAAGCATTCTGCCTTTTAATGATGTGTTTTTTTGATCTAATATATATAATTCTCTTACGTGGCTCCCAAATTTTGGCTGAAGTGCTTTGTACAACTAAATAAGATTCTTTTCACAACAGTTAAATATTTACTTCATTTTCTTCTTTCATAGAGAAAACAGTCGGCAAAGAATTCTGTTAGGTTAAGAAACATTTCGCTAAAAAAATAACGAATTCTAAAGGAAATAAAAATAAACAACTTAAAAATAAAAATGCTGTTGCCAGCCATAGAATTTTTTAAAAGTTAACTAAGCAACATAAATCAAAATGACATAGAAGCGCAACTAGATCAAAATTATGATACCTGAGTGCTTGACGTAACATATCCTTCAATACTAAAAGTGTTGAATCGCCAAATGCCCAAATGAACAATTGTGTTCTTAAAGAAATTCTATAAAAAGTTTTAAATAAACAACTTACTTCTACAACTGCTTCTTGAAGAACTTGGCTCATTGATTAGAAATATTGTTTTAATTTTACAGTACTAACTTTACTTCTACTTTCATTATTGCTATGACCCTCTTTCATTACATTTTACAACTTCATGCTAAATTTGAGGACTTTAAGTTGATTTGTGGTTGAATACTGACATTTAGAAATGGGTACATGAAAAAAATATATAGAGGTTAAGAGTTGCCTCAGAAAAATTTGAATTGTTGACATTGAACTTAACAATGGAAACAATCGTTTTTATGAAAAATTGAATTGTACTGTTGACATCAAAACTAAAAATAATGTGTTTCAACTTAACAATACTACCTTAATTTATACTTTAGAATTGCCTCGGAGAAATTTGAATTGTTAGCAATGACTTAAACAAAAAGTTTTATTTTAACTGACAAATACTATAATTATAATTTTAACTTTTTCTATGACTATACTCATTTTCTTACTCTTTTCTTTGTTTTTCATACATTTTATATGTTTGTGATAAAATAAAAAACTTATAGTTGTTCTGCTTCTGAACGCTGATGAAAACACAAAATGATGGGCTTCATCAACAATCAAAAATATATACATTTATTTTACAAATTCCATATTATTAAGGTGGCACCCCTCAGAGAATTAAAAATCGAAAATTATCTTCATCAAAGCCGATGCTTTACATCCGGCGTTCAGTGGCAGACTACTATTTCATATTGTTTTACAACACATGGCTTTAGCCCTCTGGTGGGAAAGACTTTAATACATAACTTACAACAGTTACTTTTCTCAACAACTGAAATTTAGAATAGTGTGATTAAGAAAAATGTCTGAACTGTTTTCAATTTCAAATGAATATTGAAATGTACAGGTTTAGAATTTTCTACAGTGAAAAGTTTTCGGAACTTCAGTATTCAAAAAAGTATACAAAAACTAGACGTTAAGGACGTATCCAATGAGCGAGCAAAGCGAGCATTGGATTGCGAAGCAATTAGAAATGAACTGTGAAAGCAGTTCCGGGGGTTGGTGAGCGCCAGCGAGCAGGGGGGCGAAGCCTCCTAGTTATTTATAATACTAATTGCAGATAATAATATTTGGACGTGGGAAGAGGAGGCACAAACTTAAGCAAACAGAATTCCTTTTAGTACATATATGGGTTAAGCGAATAATTTTAACTTTAGTAAAAAAACTGTTTTCTGCCAAGAAACGACAACTATTGCAAAGCATTCATCGGAGTTGGTAGGCGGCAACGAACAAGGGGCTTAGCCACCTTCTATATATATAAAAACATATATTAAAAAAATTATATATATTAAATAAACAAAAACATTTTGATCAATACTGAAACAGAGTAAAAATTATAAGTGAACATAAAATATTGCAAAGAAAATTGCATTATAATCGTTTTTTTTAATTTAAATTTATTTTAAGTGTTAACCTTGTTCAAAATCGAATGTTTTATTATAATTTTCAAAAGAAACAAATGCAATGTGAGAATGAAAATACTTACAAACAAGGAATTCCGCACTGCGTCAAACAAAATTCTAGGATATTCTGTGAAACTGATTCTCCTAAATTAAATAATCAATTCAGACAAATTGATATTTTATAAACACTTTGCTTTCATAATATAATTTTTTTTTCTTCATCCAGCTGAAAAAGGTTTTTTCCGCCACTGTTGTTGCATGACTGAGAAATATTTTATTCTCTCAAATAATATTTTCACCAGTATGAGGAAATTAATTTTTATGAAGTATCTCACTTTTACCTTAATTTCTTAAACTGGTGGACAGCTATTAACTAGGATTGAGACACTGAGTATTTCGATTTGAGAGTTTTTTTAAAGGGTAATTTATGAACGTTAATTTTTGAAACGGGATGTTGGTTGAAATAGCTAAAAGGATACCGGGTTGGAAGGGTAGAGAAGATTCTAAAGTTTAACCGATCTTCTGATTGCTATTAAGTCTGAAATTTGTTTTGACTCAACTAGTTTCATTTTTTTATTAAACTTACTGGAGAATACTTAAGATAGAAATTGACAAAAAATAATCCTGACTTGGTGAAGAGCCTCCCCAATTGTCTGATTTACTAAAAGGTTTTTCATTTTTCAAATGTAATTTTCTAATGCATCCTAAACATTGTTCAGTGGCATTGATAGAGGCAATATCAGGTCCTGTTCCTAGAACTGGTTGACAGTGGGAAAAGTTTAGTACTCAATCCCATAAGGATTTTATTTTCCATTTTTTGGAGTGAGATTGGATAAAATTTCGGCATTGATGGAGGCAATATCAGATCCTGTTCTAAGAACTGGTTGACAGTAGGAGAGGTTTAGTACTCAATTCCATAGGGATTTTATAAGCTCGTATTGGAGTGAGATTAGATAAAATTTCAGCATTGATGGAGGCAATATCAGGTCCTGTTCCAAGAACTGGTTGACAGTGGGAAAAGTTTAGTACTCAATTCCATAGGGATTTTATTTTCCCGTTTTGGAGTGAGATTGGATAAAATTTCGGCATTGATGGATGCAATATCAGGTCCTGTTCTAAGAACTGGTTGACAGTGGGAGAGGTTTAGTACTCAATTCCATAGGGATTTTATAAGCTCGTATTGGAGTGAGATTGGATAAAATTTCGGCATTGATGGAGGCAATAACAGGTCCTGTTCTAAGAACTGGTTGACAGTGGGAGAGGTTTAGTACTCCATTCTATAGGGATTTTATTTGCCCGTTTTGGAGTGAGATTGGATGAAATTTCGGTTTCAGAAGAAGTTAAATACCTTTTTATTGCAAGGACATTTTTTTATTGTGTTCGTCCACTTCAGCATCGATACCTATTTTCAATGAATGACTGTATGGCTCCCAAGAAGTTCTTATGTTTCGATTTTTTTACTTGGCATGAATGAATATTCTTTTGCTTCGGTTTTTGTTATGTCTGCATGGGAATTCTTCTAATTTCACCCATGATGGATGGATTGATTATTTTGGCATTAAAAACGCAGGAAAATCTCGTTGATTTGCGTTGCAGTTTCTTCAACATGGACCACGGATGCTCTAAAAAAAGGAGTCCATAATTTCGGCACCTAGATGGTTATTTACAGAAATTGTTGGTCGTGAGCAAAATCCAGAGTGATTGCGACACAAAGTGAGGAACCCTGAAAATTTAATGTGCAAAAAACTCGATATCAATTTATTGACTCTACATGTTTTTGAACCAATATATGTAATTAAATACTAATGAAGAATATGCAAGAATATGTAAGATATGTAATTAACTACCAATGAAGAATATGTAATAATATGTAAGATATGTAATTAACTACCAATGAAAAATATGTAAGAATATGTAAGATATGTAAGAATATGTAAAAATATGTAGGATATGTAAGAATATGTACGATATGTAATTACCTACGAATGAAAAATATCACACTTTAATAGTAACTAATTTAAGAAAAACTTAGTTTTTACAAGAATCGTAATAATGGATTTTAATATCGCAATACAATTTCTAGATCACGTGAATACAAATCTCAAAGCAGAATTTTAAAATAGAGTATAAATGCGAAAATCGATGTTTAATATTACAATTGCGTGAATACAAATCGCAATATTGGATTTTTAAAACGCGTGAATGCAAATTGCAATGCTGGATTTTCAAAACGCGTGCCTACAAATTGCGATATTTGATTTTCTAAATTATGTGAATGCGAATCACTATAAATGATTTTTAAACAGTACGAATACGATTCCCAATGTAAAACTTTAAAATCAGGTAAATACGAAAATTGATATATGCTATTAAAATCGTGTGAATATGAATCGCGATATTAGCGGATTCCGACAAATCAAAAGAATAAAATTGGCGGAAGAAAAATTGGGCATGTATAAAAACGTCTCGTTGACGTGATTTCAAATTTCAGATTGTAGAACTCTGAGAAAACTTCCACGGATTTTTATTTTATTTGTTTCATTAGTTTGATTCGCGGAATTTCGTGAATCAAAGGTCTTCAAATGCGTGGCATTTCTCGGAATTCATATAAAAATGACATGACGTGCACCTACTTTCTGAATCGAGAAGGATGATACGAAAATCCTGAAATTCCGGGATATATCCCGAAATTCCTACTTTGGACGTGAAAAATTTTGATGTGCTGATATTGGTACCACAAGAGAATTTTCTTCTGTTCTATGATGCAAAAGAGCATTGTTGTCATTTTTCCTATTTTTTAGAACCTTTATTTTCTAAGTTGAATTCTGTACTTATGTTGAGGTTTTGGCATCAAAGAATGAATTTGGAAGACATTTTGCGGAGAATATTGTTTATCGCTATTGCGATCATACTTATTTAATTTTATTTGTTGCTAGGGAACAGATAGATTGGTTTATCTTCTGTAATGAACCAGTTGGAGTTAAAAACTGAAACAAAACTAAGATTATTCGAAGTAATCACAGAACCAAACTGAAACTTCATGATAAAATCAGACAATAAGAAAATGACAGCACTAGTAGTCAAGAGTTCTAATCTACTATCTTCTTTCAGATCTTGAAATTCACAATATTTTTAATTTGAAACTCTGTAAATGCTTACAAAAATTCAAAATCTCTTACAGCGAGCGCCAGTACAAGAGACACAATTTATATAATGTCGATGCCAACACACTTTAACTACGGTTGTATTAGAATCTGATTTAAGAAATCTATGCGAGTTTGAAACTATGACGCAAAAAGACGCGATATGACAAAACATTCGTTTCCAGTGTAGGTTTATCCCTATCAGGTGTAAAAAAGAACCCGTAATGTAAACAAAATATAGGACTAGTATTGATCGGGGAAATTTGCGTCATCAATTGACGGAACATTACAGATTAATAAGTTATTTTGTAAGTTTAAACTTTTTTGCATGCTGGAAATGAATGTATTCGTTAATTTTACGATGTATTCATTTCATATATTTGAAATAGTAAGTACAAAATATCAGACCCATGTCTAATTTTTAGGAATAAGATACCACCAAAGAAATATGTATAGTGTTGTTTTGTAAGTTTAAACTTTTTTACATGTTGGAAATGAGTGTATTCGTTAATTTTACGATGTATTCATTTCATATATTTGAAATAGTAAGTACAAAATAGCAGACCCATTTCTAGTTTTTAGGAATAGGATACCACCAAAGAAATATGTATAGTGTTAAAAAAATTTTTTCTTACAAAATATTTTTGAAAAATAGATGGGCATAAATCTAGACAACGTTGCCATAACGATTTTCGGGGATATATTTCTGTAGATTAATATATAAAGTTTAGTTGTGAAGCATCAAATAGTGTTTAAATTTAAACTTTATAGCAAAGTTCTCTGTGACACTTACTAATATTGAGTTTCGATATGGCAAGAACATTTACCTTCTCTGCAGAGAGGGGAGGTGTGGGAGAGTCCCAAATTCCTAGGAATGCATCTTCTTTCCTTTTTCAAAACATCAAATTGGCAGTACGCTATGCATTCCTAATGACATAGCAAAAAAGGATGGATCAATGTTCTCATATTATATAAGGCAAAGATGCATAAAAAAAGGTTAGAATTGTTTAAAAGTATCCTGTTTATAGTTGCAGAAATAAAGTCATTTTACTCTCATTTTTTTTTGTCCAATACATGTTAACTGAATGTATGTTTACGAAGCAAGTCCAGAAAGTAAATAACCGTTTTGCCATTGCTGCTGTAGTCTCGGCATGGCTCTGTCCACTGACGCCATTAAAGACGTTTTCACTAACTCTTTTATACCACCTGCGAAGAAGCCATCACCGTGATGAAAATGATGGAAAAATTTTAATGATGGATACACCAATGTTTTAACCCTTTCCTTCTCGCTCCCGTGAAAATGACGGGGTGAGCTTTCGCCATCTATTTCTCGCTTCCGCGATATTGACGGGCTGGAGTGTTCAGTAATAACGCACCAATAAAAATAAAACTAATTAATTTCTTTCACCCAGAAAATATTTTATTTCTCATTTTACACACCAGATGGCAGTGCCAGGAAATTTTTGAGGTAATTTAAGATAGTTATTTTATTTTAAACTAGATGTCAGCACTAATCACATACGTAATATAAAAATAAAAGCCAAAAAAATAGGCACTTTTATGACCGTTTTCTTGAAAATTTACCGATCGTTACGGGGTTAAGACGGCTGTTGTCAATGAGTGAAAACATGCCAATAAAAATACTCTGTGATGAACGGTATGTTTCAAAGAAGAGATTCCCGTCTGAACTATGTAGATAATTATATACGTAGAAAAATATTTTCTCCAAAATATACTCTTTATGATATAAATAAATTTTGGTTTGAAGAAACATTTTTAATAGGAGTGTTTCCAAAACGGTACTTGCTTTCCAGAAACGTCTCTTAACTGGTTGAACACTCTTGTTTTTAACTCCAGCTAGTTTTCTTCTATCATTTTGGTACAGAAAAGGGTCTTCTAACCGGAATTATAGTATGTCTGTTTATAGTATTAATGTTTCGGCCACGGCTCAATCAACGATAATTTTATTTTATTTTATAACAGTCGTTGAACAGCCGACCCAATTTTATGGTTTTACGACTAGTGCTGGTTAGTTCCGTCAAAAAGTCTTCTACAAAGACACAATTTCTCCCAAAAATTGATCTAATTGTTCCCTTGTCTTCTGGATGAGGTTCGAAATGACAAGAATACGGTTTTGAACATTGGTAGTCATAAGCTGAAAACTTGGTCGGCTGTTCAGAGACGGATATAAAATAAAAACTCGAACCTTGAAGGGTTATGTAATAAGTATCAAATATATCATTATAATATTATATTTAGTGATTATTAAGACTACGACAATACAAAGCAGTTTTAATGCCGATAATGAGTGTTTTACACGAAAGAGGAGAAAATTAATTGAATTAGAGGTACATTTTGAGTCTCATGAATTGCCCTGCAAGAATCACGCATGTTATATACTGTTAATTTCTGTTCTGGTGGTATGAACTGCAAAAACGTGTTTTGCTTAGTTTAATAACGTAAAGGTAACAAATTAAAATAAATAAAAAAATTTCATTAATATAGCTTTATTAATGGGAGAACAAGGTAAGTGGCATTTTCTGAGAGGCTATTATCGGGGTAAGAAAAAAAACTGGTATCCGAACTATAGCTATTTTATAAATAATTTATTAGAAAGCGGAACAAATAATTCTTTGTCTAATTTCATTTACTACGGCCTAATTTGAAATAAAAGTCACTCAAGCATTTTGAAAACTAAAGTGAATTTGTTACATTAAGATTTAGGCGAAAACTATTCTGTTACATAAAACATACCCATATAGATGCAACCACTTTATGTTATTTTCTCTGATTCATTCATGCCCCTAAATATGTCACTTACTTGGTTCTATCACTAAGCTCTTCAATTACGTTGGTGTATGCCTTTCAGTTTTGAGAGTGATTCGGTAGAGTTGCTCAGTACTGATTCATTGATTGTTTTCTTTTTTTATTCACCCCGTGCGAAGAACGAGTATTCAGCTAGTAATTAAATAAATAGTACAAGAAAAAAATGATAGTTTTCATTATTGGCAATCCCCCTCGTAAAATTTCTTAATAGTTTTCACGTTTAATTTCACACTCAATAGAACCATTCCTGATTTTTTGCCTGACTGAATGCGCACTGAAAGGGACTTTAATTTCAATGGCTGTTCTGAATTTAGCTTTTCTATTAATGGCGTCATTATGAGGAAAATGTCCTGTTTTTGTTGTTTCTGCTATTTTTGTATTTTAAAAATATATATTTCTTTCCGTGAACCCACACATTTCATTAAACATTTTAAATACATAATTTTTAACATATTTATTTAAAAAAAAGGATGGATTTATTATGTTGCCCTCAGTAGTGGTTTTGTTCGCTGCTGACTACAATTTCAAAATAACGGAAGACATATAACAATATTTTGTGAGATTTTTAAGCGAGGTCACACACGAGGTCACGAAATTTAACAGAAGATTTTTTGATTAATAATAAGATTTTCAATTTAACTTGTAAGAAATAATTAACTTGTAAGAATTTTTAATTTAACTTGTAAGATAATTTAACTTGAAAGGAAAAAATAAGTAAAACTTTCACTACCGCTTCCACTATTTGGATTGCGCCTAACTATACAACTTTTGTCATGTTTTAATCCTTTCACCTCGAAGTTGACATTAGAAAATGCATTAATATACTTATTTGATTATCTTAGACGTTTCAATGTTTGTCGAGTGCTGTCCTCGTAAAGAAAAAAAATAGAAAAATAAAAGACTCACAGCTGTATCAAGAGGTCCCTTTCCTTTATTTTTGTTCCACATTCCGATGTAGTCAGTGCAATTTGTGACATAGGGTGAAGGTAAAAGTTTCTGTTCTAACTGAAAATACAGAAGACATTTTAAAATCGAACGTTACACTGGAAAACATCTTTCAATAACTACAAGGAAACCGAGTTTTAATAGCTTTTGTTCAATAAAAAAAAACATTCGTTACTACAGAAATGTTGAGGTCATAAAGAAGGAATAATTTAATCATGTTATTTCTTCTTCTTCTTCTTTCAAATCCCCATTTCTAGCCTAGCTAGACAAGGTCGATGAGATTGTTCAACTTCAAAAAGTCTTAAACAAGTAAGGTTCCTTCAATAAGGTCTTGTTTTAAAAGACCGAGGCAGTCCAGTAGATGTTCAGGGAATGCCTGGGCCGAAGAGCACTTGGTACAGAGGGCAAAGCACTTTTCTACTCCAGAGTACCTCAGTGATTTCAGGTGTCCACAGCGGAGATGTGTGATGGCGGTTTGAGACTGGCGGTCTTTGTCAGCTGTCAAACAGCTACCCGGTCTGGTACCCTGGTACCAATTGTGACTGGGTGGAGTGAGCCATGCTGATTTATTTTTGGCTTTAGCAATGGAGAAGAGCTCTGAGAAGGTAAGAGACACTGGAGGCGCAGTGGCCTCAGTTGCACCTGCCTTGGCAAGACTATCTACCATTTCATTGCCTGATATATCTACGTGTGAGGGTATCCATTGTACATGAATTTGACAATATTTGGAGAGGTGTAAAAGTTTACAAAGGATGTTCGTGCTAGTATTGTCCCTCACTCTGTGCCCGCTTGCCAAGTGCTAAACAGCGCGAAAAAAATTTTAAAATTCAATTAACTAACGTCTGCAGTAGGTAAATTCTTATATTGTGCAGAAAAGAAATGATGCTTGAAAAAGTCATTTTAATTAGGATTGCAGCCTCATGTAAATGACTGTATGGTAACGTACTAAGATCCACATATTCAGACAAATGAAGCCATTAATAGCTAAAATCTTTGAATCTTGTTTTCTGATAAAATTGAAACCCTCTTGCTATACCGAGTTTGATCTGTATAATTACTAAAACGACGGTTGATATTCCATTAACCCTATCTGGTGCAACAAATTTCAACACACTGCGATACTAAGTAAAGATAATGGTTTAAGAAAGTGATTGCTAAAAAACGGTGGACGTTTAGAAGCAGTTAGTTTAAAATATTAAGTGATTTGTAATCTCTTTTGAAAAAGTGTTGCCAAACTGGCATTATTGCGCCGGAATTGTCAAACATCCTCTTACAAAGGAGAGTGGTAGCAAAATTTGTTCAATTTGATGTAATGACACTAATACTTAGAACAAAAATGATGAAAAGTAATAAAATAATTAAATCGAACAAAACTAACTAACTGTAGTGAAATATTATTGTCAGTTTCTGTGCGCGTACTGACTGACTAAGAAAAAATGAATCTATAATATGAAGTTACCATTCCAATGATGTTGACGACGTTCACGGATCTTGCTTCTAATTTCAATCCTTCCCTGAAAGGGTTAACCAATCTCCGAGGATCGTGGACAGCCATGTAGATGGCAGGTGTTTCAGTGGAATCAAGATATTTATCCGTTGGGATCATAAAGGACACTCTGATTGCTGAAAGAAACAGTGTACCAAATGAATACTTCTTAAGCACATCATTATATTGTTATAGGACAAATGTGTTTTGTCAAATGTTAAAATACCATATTTGTTATTTCACCTATTTTCGGAAAGAAAGTAATTTCTAAAATTATAGTTCTTAAATAAAGAATTAAAAAAAATTGTATTTCAAATCAACTCTACTTTTTTCTGAAAAAAATGTATCTAATGCATTTTAATCGCTTTTATTATATTTGATCTAATGATAAACACGAAACATTAAATTATGACAAAGAATTTATTTAAATTAACTGTTAAATAACTCTCCTGTAACAAAATGGCTAAAGTAAAGAATGTGTTCAGTCTCTTGAATAAATTAAATATAGTAATTCCAGTGGTAGTTTTAAGTTCTCTAAAAAAATGAATTGAACATTATTCAACTTTAATGGTTAAGTAAAAAAATACAATACCATAAAGATTGAGACAAAGAAATTACTTAACGAATGATTTTATTAATTATTACTTCAATCTGGATTATATACGAAGTTAACATGGTTAAAGAGCTGCAACATTTACAATTAGGGAATTTATTCTTAAAACAATCACATTTTCTTTTATATCCGTCGTTGAACAGAGGACCCAATTTTTGGGTTTACGACAACTAATATTCAACGCCGTAGCCTTGTAATTTTTGAACCGATCCAGAAGACCCCGGATCAGTACCAACAGAGGTGTTGATTTGTTATGGGAACAATGAGGACTTTGCGACTCGACAGATTTAACGCGCATCAGTCACCATTACACGGGGAGTATTCGGCCGGCTGGGATCGAACCCACGAACTCTTGGACATGAGCCTAGTAGTGGTAAATACTCAATATAAACGTAATTAATTTATGCTTGTAAAAATATCAGATTAAAATCGATTGCATATAAAGCCTTTTTAGTCTTCCTTGGTTGCAAGGTGTAGTATGGTATACTACATATTAATTAAAATCATTTGTTAATTCTAATCTAATTATCTAATTTCATTATCTAATCATCTAATTTATTTAATCATCATCATTCATCTAATTTAATAATCATTTGTTAATAATTTAATAAACAGCTTAAATAATTGTAACTGTTAAATTTGTGATAAACTTTTAATTGTATGGTTTTTAATTTCTTCTTTTTACACTTGAAATTAATGTTATTTATTTGTCAGTATTCAATAATTCCTTGCAATAATTTCCTGTAATATTTAAGTTTTAAGCCTCAATTTATTTTGTAACCTTGGGAAAGTAATCTTTCTCTGCATTTATGTTCTTCCTTTAAAAGAAGATTCCTCCTTTTGTTACTTCGCTGACAGCCAGATGTATGTCTAGTCAGCAAACCCCTTTGTTGGATCGAGAAGGAGTGACCCCAAAGTCCGTTTTCCCACGTTTTGGCTTGCATCAAATGCAAAGCGCCCCTTTTGATCTTATGATGGCGCCAAGAATGTTCCAGAACATTCCACAAAATTCTTTACCAGGTGTATCACCACTTTAGACAACCCCGCTTCATGTTTGGCATGGAGCTTAACAATTAATTTCGCCAGTTGGCCAATATTTGCAGCTCTGTGATTTGCCCCTCTGATCCTTCTCCAGCCAACCAAATGGTTATTCGCAAAAGTTTAATTTTTTTGGCGAGAGTTTTCTCCCCTATCTTCATAACGAAGAAATAGTCAGTAGTTGTTTTTCTCTCAATTTGTGTTCGTTTGGTTTTTCGGCTTAGGCCGATTTTTTTCTGTGTTGGCATGTTTGCCAAGCATCTTTGTTTTTTACAATGTTAAGTAGTCAATAAACATGTTTTTCCGCATCCCTAACTATGAGTCTGGTGAGTAATTTTACTGTATAAGTTGTTTTCTCTTCCTTCCTTTTTTTCAGCATGTTCCTCCGTTGCACTGACCTGAAATTTTGCACCCACTTCCAATGCACCCCACTATCATCTTTTTCGGCCTTTACATAATTAGTTTCTAAATTTTATTTAATCTTAAGTTGACTTAATGTTAGTCACCCACCTTTTTCCCCTTTTTGATTTAGCCACACTACACAAGGGAGAAAAAGCCCCACATCCAGACGTGCGATTCAGTTACAAAGTGGCCGAATCACGCTATTTGTCGAAAAAGACATCACTCTATGTGGGAAGGGTGATGGTTTGTATTTTTGCCATAAAATTCACACAGCTAATTTTTTTGGGAGCGAGGACAGCCCCAGTAGAAAATTTTTGCGTCGTCTCAAAGCTTCCTCAACGTCTCCATAGTAAAAGAACTTTTAAAGAATTTATCTTCCTTCTACAGCCAAGGAAAGTCCCCTGAGCTTTGATGTTGCAACCAATACCAGTTCTTCATTTCACTCCCACAACATCTCTCGCTCCGAAATCGACAAAAATCTCATACAGAGCCATTAACTTAGCTGGTACTCAGATAACCAATTCATTTAAAAGTGTATTTTTGCATTTGCGTCGAACTTCGTTTTCTCATATAACAAGTACTTTTAACAAATTATTTGTACAAATCCAATCAAGTTAAAATTTACATGAAAAATTATTTATTTGACGGGGTTTGAATGTCTATGAAATATATTTAACAGGTATTGCAGTTGTTTGCTTAAATAAAAGTGTACAATAATCTAATATAAAAAATAAGATTATCTTAAGGTATCCCAGGTAGCAAAATGATATTATCTAACATGATTGTGTAACTACAAATGGCTTAAGTTACAACTTCTATAAAGTAGGCGGGAGGAAAATGGATTGTAGCAGAATTCGCTAATATAATTTAATTTAGTATTTCTGTATTGTTAACAAAGTAAATAATGCATGGAATAACATTATAAAATTATTATTCTATGTTTTACTGCCTCACAACATTACAGAAAATTGAGAATTATTCTACTACCATCCAAGTTTTCCTCTTGCTTAATCCAAAAAATTAAAAGTAATGCTAGATAATATCAGAAAATACCAAGTCTAATATTATATAGCAGGGATTTCCAACTTACATGAGGCCGGGGGCAGCAATTAAAAATACCAGTCAAATGGAGGGCCGAAAGTTTATAAAAATTTTATATGACTCTTCCATGTTTGAAGGAACATTAAATATAGAAAATTTCTGATAAGCACATGCTAAATTATATTCACAAAATGCAAAAAAACGAAATAAAAAAGGGCGACATACACGATTATTTTTGTGCTTGAATAAATATTTTCCTGGATGCAATATCTGAGAATTGCAAAACCTTGAATGCAAAACCTTTGACCAAAAAATCTTTTGCACCGTTGGTATGTTGAATTTCATTGAAACGTTCCTATTTTTTAAGTAAACAACTTAAGCGATGTGAAATAAAGTACGTCACAACATTTTCAAGAATAATATATCAAAACATATGGCAAACGGGGAGCCATTGCCTTCCTTGCTCCCTACTGTGACAACTCTTGCATAAAGTAATCATATACAGTTCCTAAATACACATAAGGGCGACCTTTGTGCTGAAATACAAAGTAAGGTAAAACAACGTTTAAGAGCACAAAAAATATACGAAATGCAGACAGCTGTTTCGGATGTTCAAAGGGCAACCTTCATCAGTGCAACTGTTGCACTGATGAAGGTTGCCCTTTGAACATCCGAAACAGCTGTCTGCATTTCGTATATTTTTTGTGCTCTTAAACGTTGTTTTACCTTACTTTATACAGTTCCTAGTCTAATTATTAAACGCACTATAAGATTCTATATAAAATTTTAATTATCATGTGATACTATACAGCTTTATTGTTTTTACAAGGCTGAAAGCGGTTTGCAATTGTTTACGTTCGTGTATCAATTGGTTGTACGTATTGTAATGCAATACGTTAAAAATAAATACAAATAGGAAGTATCTTGCATAAAAACACATTACATGCATGTTTAAATATAAAAGTATTGCATATAAACTCGTGCAAAACATGTAATTATTAAAAAAAACTACAGAGCGTGTAATAATTTGTCTAATTATTATAATATACTGATATAATAAATATACTATATTTATATAATATATCGCCAATTTATCTAATCGTCGAATTTATGTCATACATTGTCTAATTTAACCAATTGATACACTTACGTAAACAAGTGCAAACCGGTTTTAGTCACGTAAAAACAATATAAAGCTGTATAGTATCACCTGGTAATTAAGATTTCATATAGAATCATATAGTGTGTCTAATAATGTGGACTGTAAGTGCATATTATTTCACACTATATTTTTGTTCAGCCGACGAAATATGACCTCAATACTTACCGTGAGATGTAGACATGTAGGAAATGTTCTTCCTCAAAGAAATCTTTGGATCACCGTCCTTAGAGTAAAGCTTACTAATTTGAGAACCATATGTGTAACAAATGGTCGGTTGCCCTTCATGGGTCGTGAATGCGACTTCCAAAAAATCATCCCTGAATCATAAAATAGCAATCGTTTAACAAACAAGAACTCACAAATTATTGCACAACATACGAGTTGATGTTGGGAATAGATATAACGGAATTTAAATCTGCTCCCAATAATGAGTTTAAAAATCACAGTTTGTCAATTCTATGCCCCATTTAGATATTACATAGTTAAGACTCATTAATAACCGCCTATTACTTTTCAAATGAGGTCTCACTCAAATTCTATGACTTATAGTTATTAATTTATTTGAAATGTTCCTAAACTTGTTGGGATTACGTCGGTACCTTAAAGGAAATGCGCATTAGGATCGATGTTTTTAAATATGGGCAGTATATTGTGAAATAAATAAAAATTTATTACATTTTCTTTTGATAAATGCTCTTAAAGCTGGGTTTACTTTTCCAGTGGAAATAGTTCACTTACTTCCTCAGTAGATGGCAGCACTGGATAGCTCTGCTTATTATCGAATTCTTGTGAGCTTTAATGGTGTATAACATGATTTGCCTCTAGGTGGCGCCACTATTATAACTTTTAAATTGAATCACAATAGTGATATTTATCTTTAACTGTATTCTTTAATGAAATTTTCGGTTGAATTATGTGTATTTGAGTTTATTTATATTTAATTAGCATTGTTTTATCACTTTTATAGAGCATTATTTAATTCGTGGCTGTTTTTTATCGTTGGACTATTTTTTGCGACGTTCACTGGTGTTGTGCTACTGCTCGAGGGAGGAAAAAGTCAGTCTAAGATTCATTTGCTTTGCTGACAGGTGGATAAAAGGTGGAGGAGAATGGCTTAGAGAGTTGATGAGTGACGAAGTTAGGCAGGGGCCGCTAAGTTGAAATCTGATTTCCTTTCCAAGTCGTCCATTGCTGAAAGTCTACTCACCGAACTCCCAGAACTACAGAAAAAGGTCATCGAACAAAATGGAGCATATATCATTAATCAACCTTTAACACACATATAAATATATGAGGAATTTAGAAAAAAAAAACACAACGATTTTTTACTGAACCCAATACATAAACTGAAAAGAATTAAAATAAGCCAAATTATGGTTTTATTGAAATGAAAACTTAAAAGAATTGCTGTTGAAAATGATTATTATGGAAACATATTTCTTTATTAAAGAACTTAGTTATTTTGATTTGAAAAGCTCGAAGGAAAATACTAATAGGATGTTGTATAAATGTTTTTTTTTCATAATTTGTTCATTATATTATAATTAGAAATATCATATTTTCCTTTAAATTTTTTATTTTATTTCATTGGCATTTTACTTGAAATAAATTCATAAGAACAACCGTAAGATTTCATAATTTATGAATTATAGATTGGATTTAAATTGAGGTTTCAAATCTCCTCACTGGTTATAAAAAGTACTAACTCACGGAACCCCTTTCATTCTTCCACGGAAACTCTAGGGTTCCAACTGGGAATTACTGTAACCGTCTCAAATAAAAAATTTTTAGTAGATCTGCTATTTACCACTTCTTTTTAAGAACTAATTCCTATTCTTCATTATTAAATTCGTTGGGGAAATTGTATCATAAAAATTAATTAAATTTAGGTATAATTGAAAGTAGTAAAAATTAAAGGCCAGTAATTAAAAAATATTTCTTTGACTACAAAAATTAGACCAGTGTTCGACGCTTCAGCCCGAGAAGAGGGAAAATGTTCGTTGAGTGATTTCTTATATAAAGGACAGAATTTGTTAGAAATTATACCTAATATAATTGATAGATTTAGAAGGTTCGGTCTGTCAGCCGACATAGAGAAAGCATTTTTTTTTTGATGGGACACAGGGATTTTTTGAGATATTTCTTCCCGTCTGAAAAAGAAGAAATAATTTACAGAGACACTGCAGAGTAGTTTTTAGGGTAACCTCGAGTTCGATTTTATTAGCGGAATCGGTTTCCCATTCTCTTGATAATGTAGGACCGGAATATGAGTGTTTTTCGCAGAAATTAAAGCAGTCTTTTTACGTTGATAATTGTATGTCTGGTGTTCATTCTGAAGAGGAATGAAAGAATTTTGTAAAACATACTAAAAATATTTTTGCGAAAATATGTTTCAAATTTAAGGAATTGGGAGAGTAATGTTGATTGCGTTTCTAAAAGCACAGGCGTTAGGTATTTTGTGGAATCTGTACAAAGATACACTAAGATGTAATATTAATTTAGATACCGAAAATAAGAAAGCATATACGAAACGATATATCTTAGCAACTGTTCAGAAATTTTTCGATCCTCTTGGCGTAATAAGCTCTGAAACTTCATCTCCCAAAATTTTATTGCAGGTGTAGCGTATCTACCACTACAAAATTACAACTACAATTCACTAGTATATAAGACATGTTAACTGGACTCTATGTTGGGGTACCTTTTCATAGATGACGGTTAACATGGCGAAAGCACCGCCCCCACAGCAGGAAACGTGGAATTTGAACTTAAATTGGAATATTCCTTCCGTGGATATTGCAAATAGTTCAAGAAATGGTTTGATGAAATGCATATATTAAAGGGTTATGTTGAAATAAACGACTCAATTGAGATGCACGTTTTTGTTGATGCATGTAAAGAAACATATTCGACATGTATGTTTTTTAGATCGGAAATCCCTAATGAAGTAAAGGTTCAATTGATGCACCATTAAAAACCGTTATTATAATTAATACCCTGCTGCATTGGAGTACGATTAGTGCATTCAGTGAGAATAGCTATGAGCATTCCAGATATTAAGACCACCTTTTGGAGTGATCCTATGGTGGCATTATACTGGATCAAAAAGCGCAAGGACTGAACAGATTTGTGTAAAATAGAGTGAGAGAGATAAATAGTCTTTTCCCGAATAATGAATGGCGTCATGTATTAATTAGGATAAATGAATCCACTTGATTTAATTTAAAGCGGGTGCACTCCAACACAGTTATTGAAATCCCGATGGTGGGAGGGCTCAATATGGTCCCGAGAAAATTCAAATAATTGGTCTCTCACTGAATTAATTTGTACTGAATTGCCTGACATATTAAATGAGAAAAGAAAGGTTACTTTATGTAAAGGTCACTTTGTCAGAACAAGCAATACCTTGGTATGTTATTAAATGTTTGAATTTTCATAAAATTATCCAATTAGTGGCATCATCAACTGCAGAAAGCTGGTTAATGAAAGACAAAAAGGCGAATTGTCCATTATTGTGATAGAGAATGCTGAGATTCTTTTAATTCGAAGATGTTGAATCAATTCTGAATTTATGTGTCTTTGAAGATGAGAAAGGTGTTATCCGTGTCAAGACTAGAATTATGGAACGAATTGATAAACCACTTTTCTTATCTCCTATTCTTCTTCCTGATAAGTGTTTATTCACTCAAAGACTTGTTGAACATTTTCACGCGAAAAACCATTACGCAGGAAGTCAAATACTGCTCATCATATTTCGAGAAAAGTTTTGGATTTTAAGAGAGCGAAAAACAGTGAGAAGTACTTTAAGCCATTGTGTTAAATGTTAACGTTTTAAGGCTAAACATTTCAGCGCTGAGCCAGCAGCCTTACTTCGTGATAGCCTTACTTCAATGTTCAGAAATTTTTGAAATTGTGAGAATTGATCTGGCTTTACATAAAGCGAGGTGATAAAGTTTGGATTGTGCTTTTTACTTGAGCTCTTTTTAAAGCTAATTTATCTTGATATGGTTAATTTCTTAACAACAGATTATTTTTGTTATCTTTAAGACGTTTTATAGCACGAAGGGAAAGACCCAAAATACTTTATTAAGATAATGAGACTAACTTTAGAGGGGCATTTAATTTGTTACGTGAAATTGATTGGAAAAAAGTAGTTAAAAATACGGAGATGGATAGAATTTCTTGGAAATGTATCCCTCCTACCGCTGCCTGGTGGGAGAGGCTAGTTGTGAAGGATCTTCTTGAGAAAACACTGGGAAATCATACTTACGTATGAAGAAGTGATAACAATTTTACATGAATGTGAGACTATCATTTGTACTAACTTATTTAAAGGAAGATATGGAGGACTTGAGCCCATTACCTCTTATGTTGCTTCTATCGGATAGAAATAATTTTGAAGTATCCGATATAAATATACTTGAATCTCAAAATTTTCATAAAAAAGTAAGATTTCGTGTAAAGTTAAAAGAGATCAGCACGATTTAGAAATGAATATTTAGGTCTATTTATTCAAAAACAGCACGAAGATCCTTGTAATCGTAAGGTTAGGATGGCCGAAATTGTCTTGATCGGAGAAGCTGATTAAAAAACGACAAAACTGGCCCTTCACCAGAGTAGTTGATTTAATTCATGGAAAAATGAGAGAGGTAAAATTAAAGACCCAGACCAATGCATTAATTCGTTCCATACGCACAATATATACATTAGAATTTTGGGTTCACCAACTAAGGGTCCTGTGAAAGCTCCCCTGTTCATTACAGAGCCACCACCTACACTACAGCTAGCAACATCACCTCAACTAAAAAGGACTCATTATGGACGATCTATAAAAGTGCCAAATAGACTTCGGATGTGTTTTGAGTGGTTGTCCAGTATCTCAAAAGGGGGGAGTGTTTGCGTTTATTAAGCTAAAATTGGGTGCCTGGGCCGCGCAGCGCCCCCTAACCCACACATCATGAATTTATACAATGTGTAAAAAACATTTTGAATTTACAACATTCTGGTATAATAATAAAAAAGAAAAAAAAAGAAAGAAATAACATAAATATTAAAATTGAAATTATTTACATTGTATGAAATTATGATTGTGATTTTCATTTACATAGTGATAGATTTTGTTGGAAGATATTTCTATTAATTTATACAGTATATTTTATTATTTTAGGTTTTAAAAGTTCTATTGAGTTCATAGTTAATATTTTTGATTTTTATTCACTGATGATTTGGATGCACTGCATGATGACCATGATTGATGAAGTACAGGATGCATTGAGAACGTTGGTGATTTTTGCTATGATTGATGATTTATTCACTGCGATGATTCTGATGATCTGATTTTATTTTGGAAGGATGGATGATTCAGAAGCTGTTTGGAAAAAGTGTCGTCAACTGTGGTAGAACCTGTGATCTTTAGGGTTGTAGTCGGGTGCTCTATCCGTTCGGCTATGGTTGTTTGTTTCTATTTTTGTTGATGAAAAGAAAGGGGGGAGTGCGTGAAGAGTAGTTTCAGTTTTCTCTCTGAGAGTGGGCAGATGACTTCTTTTCTCTCTGAGAGTGAGAGCGGGCGGATGACTTCAAGATTTTAGAGAGTAAATAGCTTTCGGAGTTTTGTCTGTTATTTTGATAGTCTATGTATCTGTGTCTTTCGTTTTAAATGTGTGTGAAAGCATGGTACTTGTTTTCCTTTTGTATGAACCTGCAATGAAAACATACGGTACATGTTTTCCCATTAAGATAAATTTGGAACTGGTCGCACGCTACAATGTCTGTTTCTCATCTCGCCACCTTACACGATCAGTTTGAAACTCTGCCGAATAAAGAGCCATAATTCATTGAAATTTCGAAAAGAAAAACTTATTTTATAGTGAGTCAAATAGCTGTGAACAAGAAAGCTTTTATGAGGTTCATAACAATTTCCTTAATAAATTTTTTTGTATTACTTTTGTAACAATTCAATAGTTTTGTTACTTCCTGTGATATATCTTTTCAAACATGCTTCGTAAGTAGTCAAATAAGCGTCACCCCAATACGGGCCTTATAACAAACTTTCCTGTCACGCAGCAGTCAATGAGTTAAATATCAGCGACGCAGCAGTCAATGAGTTAAATATAAATTAGATTATACTATCTAATTTCCTTTGTCAAAGATCTTTGACTTACTTTGTACATTTCGTTTCCTTCCCGAGACTTTCATCTAAGCAGGTCGTCAGAACATTCTCGCTCTCATTCCGGATTTTTTCCCATGAAGGGCAGTCATTGCGACACTCATAACTTCCATTCAAAACCTGAAATGCAAAAGAATCGTCAATTGAACCCCTAAAAGTATCATCAAAACACCGTTTCAGGAAGGTATTGTCGATGCATTAAGAGTATGAATTATAAGAAAAAATGTACCTTTTACCAAACTAATATCTTAAGTTTTTTTTGTTAATTAACTATTATACTACAAACTAATAAACTATACTACAAACTACATAACTACATCAGTGCAACAGAAGTAAATGAGAGAAAACAGGGTAAATATATAGAGAAAGGTGACATCACAAGGCGGTTAGAGCAACGGCCAATAGGAGGGAAGGGTGAATGGATGACGACGAATGGGAAGTAAGGAACACAAAAGGGGGGTTAGTTAGGTTTAATCATAGATTTCCAAACAGGAGAAAGATAAGGAACGCTGGATAGGTCATTGACCAACAGTTTGGAATTTTTTAAAATATTATAGGACTCATAAAAATCTGAATCAAAAATTGAAGAACAATTTTGAATGACTTTAGAAGAAGAAAAATCAAAAATATGATTATAGTCCCAACAATGTTGGGCAATAGATGAGCGTTTAAATTCTTGTTTTTTGACATAGGCTTCATGTTCCTTAACACGGCACCTTAAGGCACGCTTAGTTTGGCCAATATATGTAAGGCCGCATTGGCAATTAATTTGGTATATGCCCCATTTGGTATATACCCAATTTGGTATATACCCCATTTTTTATTTTATTTACTTTTTTAACTATTATACTAAATAACTGATAAATATTTGTTTTTCACTTTTAGTAAATAGAATCAATTTTTGAAAATATTTTATAAAGAGTGTATATGAAAGTTGGAAGCAGTGCAAAAGATATTGTTGTCTGCTCAGACCAACTGATGGGATTTGTACCATCCGCTAATTAAGCAGAGAAGGCTTTTTTGTGAAACTGCCGAGAATAAAGTATTGGTGTGGGAAGTTGGCATGATACAAAAGTTGTGATAAGGGCAGCCTTTGGTGATGATCGCTTGCCACCGGGGACAATTCTTGAAGTCTGAAGTTCATGCTGGAAGAACACACCTAGCTTGACTGAATTCATTCATTGATACAGACAATAAACGTTCTAAAAAGTTCTGACTCGACATCAAGTATCATCACCATCTTGCCAATTGTCAACAATTTATATCGCAGTACTGACGTGGCGCACCCAGATTTCTTCTCCTCCCCCCAACATTTGAAAACATCACTTCAGGACGAAAAAGAATATTCAGCCAATTCTCATGAAACAAAAAGAATCTTTTTCGCAGATATCACAACCTCATTTTCTTTACTTTTTTTTATTTTATTTATTTATTTATTGAGGAGAGTTCAACTTAGGAGGTGGGTTTTTAAAAATCTTTCTCAGGAACAAAATTGACGTGCTTCAGTTATTTTGAAAATGTTTGAAGTTGGTAAGTTTTCAACTGAATTCACAGTATATTTTTAGCGAAATTTTTATTTAGAAAGGCAACCAAAAATGAGAAAAGTCATTGATTGTTGAATATCATTCTATCAGTGTGAATCCTCATTGCTGCTCTTTTGATTAAAATTCTTTGATTCTAGGTTCCATTGCTCTTGACAGCTCAAATTCAAACTGTTTTTAGGCTAACAACTATGAACATTTTCCATAATAATAAGAACCTAAAAATAGTAAGAATCTAAGAAAACCGGAAAATAATAGCTCTGTGTGCAGCAGCTTTCTTAAAGCTTCATCGCGTCGGTCACCTGAACGGCAACTTTTTACCTGTTTACTGAAAGCTTAGCAATAAACACAGTAGAAGTTATTTATATAAATGAAAAAAAAAGCCTTTTTTAACTTTCAAAATTTATTGTAAACAATATCTTATTTATTCAGATAGCAAAAAAAAAAATGTTAAACGTGTACATATGCCTAAGCACAAATACTACTTTTTATATATCCCCTATAGCTTCTGAACTATTTTTTCTATTGACTCATATTTGATTTTATTCTGTTCAATGAAGAAAAAAACACACACGAAACAATGCTTTATTCGTCTAAGTAGACATAAGTGAGTAAGAGGCGTAAAAATATAAAAATGCAAGTGTGCTTTTTATACCTAAAACCTATATAACCATGCAAACTATTACTCCTATCATTGCGTGTATAGTCTCTCTCAATTCAGCTTGAAAATTTGCATCAGAACTTTACTCGGTTAAATTCGTTTTTGGATTTATGGATTCAATGTTAAGTATAATGAATTATATAGGAAACAATAACTCATTTGTCTTGATAGCAATGTGGGAGGCGTACCCAAGTAGCATAGGGATATTGTAACAGCCTTAAAGTACATCGACCGACATTGTCAATAACGGAGAAAATCGACACTGTATGTACGATATTGTACGATTTCCATCAATGTCACGTTAAAAGTCTCTTTGTAAAACTTCCTATTTTAAACTTCATTAGGTTCTTAAATCAAAATTAAATATTTAAGAGACAAAAAAAGATATAGAATTGTTATAATTCAAAAAAAATAAAATTCAAATATAAATTTCAAGATATCGAAATAATATCGGACTATATTTGATATCAATATTGTGATAGCGTTTTTCTCACGACATCGATCGGTATCTCTAAATCCTGAAACAAACGATGTACCACTCACAAACACAACCGTAAGGGTATAAACAGACCATACCACAGATTGGAAACAGATTGGATTGTAGTTGGAATTGGAGATGATAACGTGTAAATGTAGTGGGAGAACGAAATTACAATAACCTAAACCATAATTCTATATTCTTTATTGATATTCTTATATCATTTGCATAGGTATTTGGACACCTATGCAAATGACTATATCTAAGAAGAAAAATTATTTTATTTTCATCCTTTCCGTCTTCATTGTGCTATATTTGGACTGCAAACTCTAAAATTCTTTATAGTTTGGTAATTACAAATATTATACTTTAATTTCAGAGAAGCTGGAATAGTTTTGTTATCAGTATTTTCTGGATCACAAGCAGGCGCGAATATTTTCAAATACTTTTTATTTTTACAAATAATGTAATTTTCGTGATTGCAGCATTCCATCTCATACATTTTTGGAATGTCGGTCGACATTCTACAACGTTTGTAAATGCTGAGAGAAATCGATCGACATTCCACAACGTTTTTTTACAATATCTTTGTGCTATATTGAACATACGTTACAATAGGGGTCAATTTTTAGATTGTACAATATTTCGCTACGATATCGTACAATGTTCGAAGACGCGTTTTTACAATATCGTTTTTGAGATATGTGCTACTTGGGGAAACTATTAAACTTGAGTCTTTTCGTCTCGTGTTTTGTCGCATAAAATTCTCTTCAGTTAGAACGCGTGCCTTAATCACAAAAAGAGGTGAAATAGCATTACACTTACCCCAAGGAAGCGCTCGTTAGGATCTGGCGTGCAGTAGAGAGGATATTTTTCACAGAGTTCTTCCTCGGATTTGAGGAATGTGCACTTTGAGGGGTGTTCCAAGCATACATTCTTCCGATTCCGCCTGAAGAATTGAAATGATACATTATCATAATGTTATTTTTTTTTAAAAATGAACTCATTTTTTAAAAATTTTTTTTGAAAAATCCAAGCCCTCAAATAAGTAGTTAGGTGTTAAAAAGCAATTAAATTTAGAATATGAAAGATAAGGAAATAATTTGATCGAGTTTTTTTAAAGTGTATCTTAAAGAAGGGAGTTTTAGTAATTCCAACTTCGTTCTTAGAGATATCATTTCTTAAAATTTAAATATTAATTTAACTCTTTATTGTGCATAATTTTTTACTTTACTTCAAAAAGGATTTTGAAAAGTCAGATTAAATTGACCCTAAACAAAAGTTCCCTAGAGAAATCTTTTTCGTAGAGATAATAAGTCTGATTAACAACCGTGGTAATAGAATTTGTGAATAAGTCATGTGATAGTTCTTACGTATTGCTGTTGCAGATAGTGATGGCGGGTCTTTGGATGATGCTGGGCCTGCTTATAAATTCGTTCATGGTTGCCTCGTATGACAGGTAAAGCTTCGTCAAATAGAGACTGTGATACAGGAACCCGCCCACTGACAGAAGGAATACTGACATCTTCACCAGTCTCTCCTTTTTCGATTTCACCAGTACCACATCTGACATGCTTCGAATGTAGGCATTCTTCAATACCGCGTAAATGCTCAGCCTTTTCCTCATGGTGTGACACTTCATTGATCTGAGCTTTTTTATTCGTTTCTGTGTACGAGAAAAAAAATTTAAACAAATCAAACATCCAGGATGGTGAAATAAAATCAATTTAAAATATAATAAACACATTTCCAAATTCTTAATTGAATCATTCAATGCAAATATTGCTTGCCAATAATGGAATCTATAAATAAAGCAGAAAGTTTGCATGTACATGCATAACAGTATACGCATACATGTGTATGCATGCATGTATGTGTATACATGCATATATACCATATACAATCCGCAATTCTGAGCCGATCCACATCAAATGTGGTGCACATACATTTGAAAATACGGTGAAGCTAACTATGGTGATCAGTTCATGTGCTACATCCTATAGAAAAATGTTTTCTGCAGGATTTCATAAGTATTTTATAATATAAAAAATTGCCTAGTCTATAACTTTACTTAACTCAGTGGAGGCATTTTTATTAATTACTTATGTATGATTCTCGATGTAGATTAGCACAAGAAAGATCAGCATTAATAATTCTACTTGATATGAGCACCTTAAGATTATGTAAGATGTATGAAATTACGTGTTCATTTTGCTATTTAAATGTGTTTTCTAGCAAGTTTAATTTAATGCCAACAAGAATCAAAAATAAAATTGAAATAATTTTCGAAAGACCGAAGTAATAGGAAAAATTGTTATTGAATTTTTTCTTTAAACTAGGCTTAAATAATACGTAAAAAATGCATAGATAAATATAAATGTGCGAAGTAAGTTTTAAATTAAACTTTTAATTTTTCTTCCGTTTTAATAAATTTAATGTTATGCATTGGAAAAGTAATAGAAAAGTACAACAAATAACAAAAAATAAAAGCTTTAAAGTAAGCATCAATTCAGCTGGATAATTTGTAGCAGGGGTAATTGTAGTACTATGACATGTGTTCTAAAAATTGATTATATAATACTAGTGGGTTGCGCCCCCTGCTCGCTAACGCTCACCAACCCCCGAAAATTGCTTCTCAATCTTATATGATTTGCGAAGCAAACCAAGATCGCTTCGCTCGCTACTAATATAGGTACATTGCAAATGCACAAAATTCTAAGAATTCAAAACAATCATTCAAATCTTTTTTTTTAAAAAAAATTACATCTATTTAGTAAATACTAAGTCATTACAATAAATCTGAATTCAAATAAATGACATGTAATTCGTTAAACCTATTAGAAATGTGCTATAGTATAATTCGTGATATAAATCAAAAATCATCAAATAAATTCGTAATATATAAATTCGTTAAAAAAGCGCTTTCGACAAAATACTAAAATAAAGATCCATCAACAAAGACTACTCACTTCTGCCTAGCTTACTAGTATGAGATTGCCGCAGCTGATGCTCTCTGGTTATTTCAGTTTCCGTTTTTAAAAGCGCTATATGTTGAGCCACCTCAACTAGATTTGGCATGTGACATTTTTAGTGGCAATCATTGGTCGATTTTCTAGCGTTGCCATTCGGGGAGTTGTAATGAGGCTTTTTTTGTCGCCGTGTAAGAGAAATAGTAACGTAAACAAAACAAAGCAAACGTTGCCACCGGCGGAAAAGAAATA